TGTGGTATGGGTCGGTTCTGGCAAAGATTCAGCTAGATTTCTTCACCAATTGCATTGCCAGCTTGCCCCGCAATGAAAGACACCGCCATTCCACCTAAAATGGATGCTCCAACTGCTGCCCATCCCACAGGACCAGCAAAGACCATTGCACCTGCATAAAGRCCAGATCCAATGACCTCACCAGCATATTGGCCTATTCTCCCATTCGTACGTTTTCTGAATTCTTCTTGAGTGACATTTTGCTTTTCAGCCTCGATCTTTTTCAAGTCATGGTATAAAAATATGCCTCCAACAACTCCTGAGACTACGGAAGCKGTCATTCCAGCCTTTGCAGCACCTTCCATTGTAGCTTTTKCCAATTCTTTTGTTCCCTTTTTGGCCACCTCAGATGAAACGGTTTTAGTGCTCATCTTAGAAGAAATCTTAACACTAGTTTTCATTCCAGTCKTTACCACTCCTTTGGCTCCASATTTCGCCACCTTAATTGAGGTGTTTTTAACAACCAGTTGCGAAGAGCWCTCCAAGGTTTCTTCCATAATCATTTTTGTTGACCGTTCTGCTGTRGCTGCTGTTATTTCTATGGYTACTTYCTTACTAACYGATTTTGTAGTAGTGTTAACACACTGTGTGGCTATGTTCTCAGCAGCAACTTTTACAGCSTCTGTCTTACAAAATTCCATAAAAATGCGTGATAGRGATGGAATGGCTTTGTGAATGCCTGCAGTTTGTCCAGTKTGGATGGTGKGTAACAAAACCAACAGAATGTCCTTAAGTTCTTGAGAAAGAACATGCCAAGGAATGTTTCCACTTGATAGATATGGCAGAAGATGCCTCAGTAGGAATTTTGTAATTTGGTCAGCTTCATTTGGATATAGTNTTAATGAGTAAATTAATAGAGAACAATGAGAATAAATTATAATTCTGAACACAAGTAACGAAGGCTCAAGTTTACAGGAAAGTGAGTGAGTGAGTGAGTGAGTGAGTGAGTGATTGAGTGAGTGACAGTCTCGTCCCACTCCAATAACTCTTCGATTGCTTCGCAATCTTCGAGTTAAAAATGAATGAATGTACAAATAAATTAATTAAGGTATCTATTCCAGACCTTAAAAGGTACAACCATTTTTGATGTCTTTAACAAGAAAAAAGCTCAAGTTAAACCACTGTAGAAAATCAATGTTGATAGATTGTTAAGGTTAATGAAACAGGTGGACTTGCGGGGGCAGTGAGAACGAATGAGATCTGAGGATTCTTAGGCAATTTTATTTAGGAATAAAATCACAATTGATTACACATAGTATAAACGGGAACGTCTAACACGTTGCTCTATAAAGATACAATAATAACATATATAAGCTTAAATGATTTACAAGATTTTGATAAAATACTTATATAAGACTATAGCATGCAATTTACATAATGGCTAAAATAATGTTGATAGGAACTATTCAACTTATTAAGAGTCAGTGTAGATGATTTATAAGAAATCATATAATTCATATTATAAAACTAAAAGATTAAGAATACTGGAAAACTAAATAATCTAACTCTTAAATGAGTAAAAATATAGTTATCACTCTACAGGAAGTGACATCACAGTGTAAACTGAGACGTTAATCTATTGATAGTGTAACCTATGACTACAATGGGTTAGTTATGTACAATATGTTTAACTTGAAAACACTGAAATGAGTGTTAATTGCTGCATATGGATTAACAGTGAACATAATGCATTACATAAAATGGCTATAGTGACATTTTAGGTGAGATTATAATTGTTAAAATAAATAGGTTAAATGATGTTATATGTCAAACAACATGTGGCTGTGACCTTATTGTATGACCTTTAAACAATGCTAGTTGTAAATGTAAAACTACAGTTAAAGCATAATGTTAGATGCTGGGGTTAATTACAACATGAAATTATTAGTGGTAAATTCCGAGAACAAATGAGCTGAAGTATTAGCAATAGACCGATCCAAGGATAATCGACGCCATATTGCTTCAGGCGCAAATCAACTGGGGCGAGCRCGYGGTCAACCATACATTTCTTTGTTATTGTGTCGGATGGCCTTCAAAAAGTCCCCGAAAAAATATGTTCTGCTGATGGGATGTCTTTGAGACTCACATATGTCACAGATGATACATATAAAAAGCTATTTCAAGCTTAAAAAGTCAATAAATCCAAAAGGACGCGTTAATTTTGAACGATTTTCTCGATCTAGCGGGTCGGCCGCCATACATTTCTTTGTTATTGTCTCGAGCGGACTTCAAAGAGTTCTCAAAAAAATATGTTCTACTGATGGGATATCCTCGAGATTCACATATGTCACAGATGATACATACAAGAAACTTTTGCAAAAATAAAAAGTCAATAAATCCAAGCGATTTCCTTGAGAATGACGATTTACCTCGNTACTTGACTGAAAGATACAAGTCCGCTAAAGATTGGAATAAAAATATTATACCTATCAATGAATTGTGATTTTTATAATGCGACCGTAAATCTCATAACAAAAATTTTCATTTCCGGAAAACAATTTAATTTTTGAAAATCTTTTTGGACTCGTTAATCTAGAATTTGGGTTGTAATGCGACTTGGGCCTCATCTAATGAATTTTTCTTGAATCTCATACCAACGTGAACCTCGTCACGCGCCCTTCGGAAGCCATTTCGTAGCTGACTATATGATTAGCCAATAGGAAACGATCAAAAATTTATCTGCTAGTGAACGTTTCATCATTTCAATCACTAAGTTAGAGTGGTAAGTTTACTGTTTTTCAATCCGGTGTTAACAAAACGTCTTATTTACTACGGCTAGAAAGCTAATTATGGACTGTTGGCGCTAAAAATCGATGTATTCCGCAATGAATTTCAAGTTCTATTGTGCCTTCGCGTTCCGCCCATTCTGGCACGCTTTCATAACTAAGATACAATCCTTGCCATCCTTGCTTAACGCTAAGGTTTTATTGACTGCGAAGCAGCCAAAACAAAGGGATTTGTATTACTTTATAACTCTGCAATGTCTTTTGCGCAGTAAACGACTTCTAATACTGCAGAAAACGATATATTGTCATTGCCGGGTTCCGGCGTTCTTGACAATATGCTCAACGTCGCCTTCAACCGCAAAACCAGATAACCCGTCACACGATAAAGACGATTTGTTAGCTAAAGTAAACTTACTGATGAACATGATGAACGAAATTGCTCCAGCTGTGAAAGCTTTGACACAAGACGCGGGAGACGAAGATGTCAACTTGGATATCGACACCGAGCAGGCAGATAATGGAGAGAAAGAAAAAAGTGAATGCGCACGCTTTTATATGGTGGTGTGCGACACGTACCACGTGACTGTATCCCGTATCCACGTGACTATCAGTACCATGGGCAACAAGGCGGACAACAATAATCGTAAATAACAAACTTTTTCATTTTTTCAGTTCATCAAAAACCTTGGCGGACAACAATAATCGTAAATAACAAACTTTTTCATTTTTTCAGTTCATCAACAACCTTGTAGTTTCGTGCACTGACAAAGAAACGCGCCTCCTTCTTCGCGGGATACAAACTAGTCTGTGACAGGTGATGTGCGACACGGGTTCGCAAAGTACGATGGGAAAAACCTTGAAACGCGCTCATTTGTCACTGATCGTCGTAGAGGACAGAGCTCCTAAACGGCAAGCATTGCAAGTACTGCAAGTAAGTTTTACTATTTTATGCTTATTTCAGATTGAAAATTTATTTTAGATTTGTCAATGGGCGTCATAGCATGGAACAGGTCAACAAACAAATTTCGATGTTGTTTTGGTTTAGGTTTTATCGTAAAAAGTTCATTCAGTGTCTGAAGTTTTTTTTTTTCATTTAACTTACTTAATTTTCCCTTACAATCGATGTTCTAAGCAAATGATTTTTTTTACGTTTTTCTCAGTCAACGAAAACTGTCGCTAAGCTCCTCGATTAAATTTGTTTTCTCTCTCGGAAAGGATCCAGACGTGCAGAGCTTTTTTTCTCCGTACAGGCTTAACTTATTAGCTTGACTTGAGACGCAGTAAGCTTTTTGATAGCTTAACTAAAGCTATGCAAAACCATTACACTAAATAAACTAAATAAATTCGTATGTAATAATCTTTAATCAAAACGTCATAAAGGTTTATCATTAAGTTTAAACCTCGTTGCGATTCAATGCGATTGGAAAATCCATGATCTACGAAAAAAACATTGTATTATAATGTAAGCTTAAGTATCAGGTCTTAAGTGCATAATTATATCAGGTGTAATGTCTAATATTAACTACAAAGTGAAAGAGTTGAACACTATTGGCACCCAGACAGATGATTTTGGCTGTACCAATGGTTGTTTATCTTCAAGCATTACATTTATGAATAAACTGAAAATCGATACAGTGTAGGTATAAATCCTGGCCGGATTSAAGAAAGTCTACACCGAATGTTCTCACAGATATAGCATCCATTGCACGGAGCTCATTCCTCGACGACGGTCAGAGGCAAATGATGCGTATCTAACTTTTTACCCATGAGCCTTTGCGAACGATGCTCAACCTCCTCGTTAGAAAGAGCTGGAAATAGGGTCTGGGGACGAGATTGCGCCATCACTAGAAAACGCTTGGTCATCACAAAAAGTTTGTGAGCTGCTTTCATCGTCTGATTAGACGCCTTGTTTTAGGGCCAGTCTGTGCATAGGCTACCCAACTATTGCTTGAGAGAAAGAAAAGAATGAATGCGCACGCTTTTATATTATGTTATCGAATCGGCGCGGGCGGTGGGTTACCTGTGGTATTACGTCACGATCGCGCGCCTCGCGGGATACAAACTAGCCTGTCACAGACTGTATCGATTTTCAGTTTATTCATAAATGTCCTATAAAATCTGTTCCATTCATGTTTCTTAATCTGGTTGGAGGGCATGTAAGCTTCATAGATAGTCCGAGAGAAAGAAGAATTGCGATGTTTCCGGACAACAACAGACTGCGCGAACTTGTCGAAGACGAAATATCGCCTTGTATCATCACCATATCTTATAGCATTAGGCTACCCAACTATTGCTTGAGAGAAAGAAAAGAATGAATGTGCAAGAAATTTAATAATTAAAATGTAATATACTGCCAGGATAAATAAGAACTAGATATATGTTGTGAAACTATCGATCATAAATGTGTTATTAATATCATGCAGATACAGTCATTAAAGGTTGCTCAAGAAAAAAATCCATCTGGGAGATGGTGGATAAAGGGGGATGCTTTTGACATACGAGAAGGCCTAAGAGAAAGCTTGAAAAATGAATGGTCTGGTGATTGTGATCTAGGTAATCCTTCACAGGATTATAAAAATTATTATTATGCTTGACTATTAAAATTATATGATATATGACAATTTAAAGACAAAATCATGAACGCTATTATCTCTTTATGCTTAGTCTATATATTAAGCATATAATAATTCATTCAATAACTTGATGATAGGCTGCAGTTCTTGTTCAGATATGGGTCATCAAATTCTGCTGGTTTAGATCTAAATAAAGGTTTACAAGTAATTTCTGAGTTCCTCATTAAAGATAACCAAATGCTAAAGGCTGGACATGAAAAATCCAAAGAAATGTATGAAAAGAAAAGATCTGGAAATGGCCAAGAAGCCACATTGTTCTCTCTTGCATGGGATGTACTTGGTTATGAAACTCTGCTGAAAGAAAATGTGGAATTTCAAAACAAGATTGCAGGAATGCAATTGCTCATTCAAAATTCTACTATAAATATCAGTGCCAAATTGCACCAGTTAACAAGAGAAATAACTTCCTACAGTAAAGGTGAGGAATGGCACTAAATTGACAATTTAAAGTAACAGTCATGCAGTTTTAATTAGCAATATCCCTTCCATGCTGTTCCAGTAATCATTTACAGATTTGTCAGGGATTGAATTATTATAATTATCTCCATTGCTTTTCAGGAGTGTATGCCAAACAAAGAATGGCAGCAACTCATATTTTTGTATTCATGATTTCGGAAGAGCAGCGCAACCAAAAGCCGTATGCCATTCCAGTACGTTTTTTCTCCTATCATTCTGTAACAGACAAACGTATCGGGGAGTTGAAAAAGGAAATTGTTGAAGCAATGAAAAAACTACAAATGTTGCCAATTGGTAAGTATATGATTTAATTTAAGTTGCTGTTAATAGGGATTTGTTAACTAGTTAGTGGTATAATTTTGATTGTACAGTAACACAGCCACACTGTAACATGCATGTTCATTGGGCTTATGGTACTTTGCGAAACGAAACGAAACGAAATCTGTAGTTTGCGAAACTGTAGTTTGCGAAATCTGTAGTTTGCGAAACTGTAGTTTGCGAAACTGTAGTTTGCGAAACTGTAGTTTGCGAAATCTGTAGTTTGCGAAACTGTAGTTTGCGAAATGTATTGTAAATTAAGCTTATTAAAGACTTCTAGTCACTTTGATAAGCCCTCACATTTACCTTTATATCCTAGAGTTATTTCTTGCTTGCAAAAGTAGTTTTTCACAAGCTATTTGATGAAGTAAGTCGTTGTTCGCGATCGTTCGYAAACTTCTTGGCCGCCATTTTGTTGACACAGGACGCCCGCGGAGAAAGAAAACAAAACACAGGAAGTCCGGTAATGCTCTTTTGAGGCGTATGTTTTTTGTCGTGAACACTAGCAATGCAATATTTTAACTTGTTTTGAGTAAGTTTTTTTAAGGCCGGGGTTTTGTTATATTTTATATTTTTGTTATATTAATTAAACGTTTGCAAAAATAAATAAATAAATAAAAGAAATTGGTGTGGTTTTCCGATGTCATGTGGAGTGAAATAACTATGTATGTTGTTTCAATATTCAGTGCTGATACGATATAGTTAGGTGATGATATGTTCATGAACCGAAGTGTGATTGGACTCTCCTATTTACTCCTACAATAAAATTCGATATCCAACCAGGTGTGCGAGAAAGATGGGTAGCTGTTGTGTGCTAATCGTCCTTCATGGCAACACCGGTACTGAATTGCGCGCTCTCAAGTCGAAGTGCTATATTGCGGACACATTTTACATACTGACACATAGGCGTGCTGCCGGGTAGGCGCTTCCTTTACATAGCAACGTCGACTGAACGAACGCAGAGCACAGCAGATAGAAATGGTTCGTTTTTACTGAGGGAGGAAAACCCGGAAAGACCCGGAAAAGCCCTCGACGAATGGGAGAGAACGAAAGAAACTCAAATCACATAATGGCGCCCCGATCCGTGCGCTAGCGGTTCATGAGGCGACATGTGAACGCTTACCGGTCTTCCTGTGCTTTGTTTTCATTGTCCGCGGGTGTCCTGTGTTAACAAAATGGCGCCAACTCGAGAGATTAACTTCAACGAACAACAACTTCATCAAATGACTTATAAATACTACTTTTGCAAGCAAGAAATAACTCTAGGATATAAAGGTAAATNCAGGCACTTTGTCCATTTAAATGGCGATAGTTTTGACCATCCTCAAGACGAGAGCGTTTTAGTTCAAATCCCGAACTCTGACGAGGTCACATTCGGGCCWACGAAGACTCGCTCGGCCAGGACTAATCTGTCATCAGTGTCCCTAGGTCCTGTCAACTTAATCCGATTAGTGAGTCAGACGAGTGGTCAAAGGGGCCGCTAGTTATTGCCTGCCCCTGTCTCTTTTGGTGTTAGGCCAGGGCAAAGTGATTTTAATCCGGTTAATGAATAACGTTCCTGGCGAGACAGCAGTGGCTGGTACAACAAGGACAGCGGTAATAAATTCAGCAAAAACCGCTTGAGTAACGATCATTTGGATGATTTCGTAAAATCAAGTGCTTTTTAGTGTCTAAGACAACATTTCAGTGTATATTTCAGATAAGTAAAACTTTACAATTTATTATCGACTATCTTATGTTGGAAAAATTAAGCAATTTTTGGATCTTATGGGTCATAATTTCAGTTCTAGCGCCCTTGATCAAGGCTCACGAGTTTCCTTCTCATTCTAATTTAGTACTATAATTGCCTATGATCCTAGACCTAGTTTACTGGTTAGGCCAAAGGAGCATGACAAAATGAGGTTTGTTACCTTTTGAATTCGGAGATTGCGATTGCGCATTCGAAGAGTTATTGTAGGTGGACGATCTGTCACTCACTAAGTCACTCACTCACTCACTTTCCTGTTAACTGCGTTGTTGCCTTAGTAACTACTATCTTGACTTATTAATTTTTAATTATTCATCTTCACGGTCTACCTGTTTCTTTTTTTTATTATTATTTTTTTTTTGAAGAGAAAGAAATTCATGTCTTCGATGAGGCTCGAACTCCGGACCTCTCATGCCAACGTCAAAGACACTACCACTAGACCATGTAACATTAGACATTACGTCATGACTATTTTACTAGCTTTTATACGACACCCGATCAATCAATGGGTTTCCTGTGTCACAATCAATAAAACTGCTAAGTAAATGTACAAATTGAAAAAGAAGTTTTAAAAACGGCTTCCGCTTCGAGTGTGTGTCGACAGTTATTAGAAAGAGTCAGTGAAACGGATCCAGGGAAACGTAAGCTTACACGAAGCTTCTCGGCCCTAAATTGTTGTTGATAAATGTCTCGGCCGACGGCCGAAATTGACCATTTGAGAACTTACGTAGAAAACAAGATTTCAAGCAAATGGTTAAAGTGAATATGTCCTTTGGATCTTCAGATAAGCTATCAAAGTGCTGAAATTTACTATTTTGTGTATAATTATAATTTGATTTGTTATTTGTTCAGTCACAACGGAAGCATGAGGAAGACTCGCCGACTAATTCGACTAATTCGTTTTGAAAACATTTTACGTATGTTTTATTTATCCATGTTTGTCTACAATTCAAAAGATGTATTCACTCGCTAACGTACTATTACATTGTAATATTTGATATATATATAGTTTATTGTGTGGCTAGATATCGAGAACACTGTAGATCTGCTTCGGAAACTGGCAAACACTTGTAGTACAATGGTCATGTACATTTGGTCGGAATTCAATCGAACCAGCTTTCATTTAATTCACCGTTACAGAGTAAGCATTCTTAAAAGAATTGATGGGAAAAATAATTTATAATAAAAAAAGAAATTGATGGAAAAAATAATTTATAATAAAAAAAGAAATAAAAAAATATTTCCTGGGACTCGAACCAGGGCTGTCTGCACGCAACGACCACGTTTTATCCACTGGGCTACGATGGCAAATTGAATAATCAAATGGCTAAGACTGGGATTTATTTCGCTGACGCTCGCTAACCTCTGTAAGCAGGAGAATCGAACCGCTTGGGACGTCTGCTTACCGAGGCAACTTATCCATAACTGAAGTTAAAATAATAAGATTTTAACGAAAAAAAATTATTTGTAAATCGTTTACTTTAAATATATTTGATTCATTGTTCCGAATTCGTCTATACAATCAATCTTCAAGTTATGTTGCCATTGGCAGCTTGATTTACTAATTAAGTGGGCTTCCTATGGAAGACCACGTCTAAAAATGTCAGTGGACTTTTCGTCGTCATTGTTGTGAAAATTACACTCTTTAAAGTGGTAGCACCTGCGTTGCAGATGGTCTGCAGTGTCAGTTTCCATGAGCATCTCAAACTAAACCAATCTACACTTACTTTCATTTTTGACATATTTGTATTGTTTTTACATCAGTTGGACTCGTGGCCTGATCGCGATATCCAGCTCATAGATAGCTACTGTTACCTGGTTTGTGACCAAGAAAACCAAGCTGATCAAGATCAAGCTGCCAATGGCAACATAACTCGGAGATTGTAAGAGCTGCTTTTGCAAGATGGTCAGCTGTATTTTGAGCATTTTATTAACACATTAGGTAAGTTATTTACAAAAACATGTAAATACAGTAGGTGATCATAAAAAATCAGAACAATAAGATCAGAACAGTATTGGGAAAATGCAATTCAACATTTAAATTGGATTAAAAAAATAGTATTAACTAACAAGATAAGTGAAAAATTAGTGAAAAATTTGAGTAGCTAATGCCTTCATGTATTGAAAGAACAAGTGAATTGGTATATCATAACTTTGTTTTGAGCTCCTTTGTTGAAGTATGAAATCCACATTGTTCTTTTGATTATTCTTTATGCTCTTGATTTGCAGTTTTGCAGAATTATTCCAGTGCTTTTCTTCCAATCACGTGTTAAGCGGATTAAGGTTGATTGATAAAAATATAAGCTTATTAGTTCAGAGAGACATCGAAATTTATAAAAGGAAAAGCTTCAGCTTAGTTACATGTAAATTAACAACGGCGA